GAAGTCACTGGACATAGGCCTCTAGCTTCTACACACACACACACACACACACACACACACACACACACACAAAATGTTACTGAAATCAAAGCTTGCTGCCTGTGGGCCCTGGAAACCAGGAGGCTGTCACCATTGTACCATTGTGCCATTGTCACACATACCTGTGAGCATCCCTGGGATTCAGAGTGAATGAGACCCACTTCCTGCCTGTCCTGGCTTCCTCCCCATATAAAAGAAGAAACAGACACTCAACTGAACTTGAGACCCACAGGTCACAGAAGCTTCCAGGATAGGAAGGAGGGGATGCAGACCTTTTAACTGATAGTCAAGATAAACTTATGTAAGCAGGACCCAAACATGCTGAGACCCAGCGCCCCCTTGTGGGAAAGCTCTAAATCTGGAGCCACTGATTTCGCTCCCGGGAGGAATTTGGGGGCAAGCTTTTTTTTTTTTTGGTCTTTTTGAGACAGGGTCTCCCTGTAGCCTCAGCTGTCCTGGAACTCACTATGTAGACCAGGCTGGCCTTGAACTCACAGAAATCCGCCTGCCTCTGCCTCCCGAGTGCTGGGTGGGCAAGCTTTTTAAAACTCATTCACCTCTTTATTTTCCAGTTGACTAAAAAAAATAGCATAAAGACTTCAGTAAAAGCAGGACTATATTTGGAAATTGCCTTTTAAGCTTAAAAAGTGAAAACCACTTTAGGACTTTACTGTTTTGTAACAAACACTTTTGTGATGATGAGCTGTTGGTAAAGAGAGTAAAAAGAATTTTCTAGTGTTGTCAGCAATATAGTAAGCCACTGAGATGGCGAATAATGAGCAAGTCAGAGCCAAACCAGAGGCTAATACAAGACCTGTCAGCACAGCAGCCCTCAAACATCTGTAAGGAATTGCAGCTTGTGCATATGAATAAGACAGGGGTGAGGTCCAAAGACAAGTCTGAATTTTTTTAAGAGTAAATAAATCTAAAAGCTTTGTTTCTAGGCCCAAGAGTCTGGGCTAAGCAGAGGGAAATGAGCTGGAACTCTCTGGCTTGGGTAAAGAAAGTTTGACTGAAGGGAGGGGCTTTTGAATATGATGGTTCAAGTCAAAGTGTCCAAAAACATCTCATTTCCAGATTCATGCTGATAATTGACCTTGAGATTAGGTCCTACTTGCTTTTATATGTATAACTTTTTAAAAGTCTAAGCACATTAAATCTCTCTGCTCACTTCATCCTGTTGAATAATGAATGATATTCCAGAAAGTACCATGCACATGTCCAGACATGTCAGTATTAGAGCAGCAATAAAGGCCCATTAAGGGAAAACTCCTGGTCAAAAGAATAGAATTCCTGGCCTGGGTAGAGACCTAACATTGCAGTTAGGTGGGTCAATCAACTGGCCAAAGATTGATCTCAGAAGGAAGACCATCCTTAAGCCATGCTAAAGAGATAGAATAATTATTCTTTATGAGATACTGTATCTAATGCAGTCCCTACAAGCCACTATGAGGTTTAGCTGGTTCTGCTCACTTTTCTGAGTCCTGATTCATTAAGGTGCAGCTTTTTCTTTTTTTTCTGGCCCCCCATCTCTTTCTTTCAGATACTGGCCAAAACCTAAGTTCGCCTTTTCTGTTACTTACATGTTTCTGTCCTTCTTGCCCCTCCCTGCCACATGACTGCCTGCTGCCATGCAGTAAACCTCTGTGGTAGACATCCATGTGGGTAATGTTAGGGTTTAGATTCACAGCAGCCCCCCTCCCCAACAGGGCCTCATGGGTTTCGGCACCATCTGATAGATGAAGTAGCGAGATGAATCCAGCTAATCAGGAGAAAGCAGTTTATTAGCAAAGGAAGCCTCACAAGGGACAGAGTCCCTTCTGGGTAGGGAAAATGTCAGCCCATGAGTTGTGAGCTGGGGCTTTTATGGGGAGATTTTAGGAAGTGCAGAAGGTAGGAAGATATTTTCTTTAAAGATGGGGGGAACAGGGGGGGGCTGTTAAAATCCGCCCCCTTTTGAGATCAAAGGGAAAGCCTGCTGTGCTGGCCAAATGGTACAGAAAAGTCTGCTTCTCTTGACTTCAAAAACCAGGGTGCTTATCAACTTGGTTCCTCAGGGGATTGAGAAACCCATGAGGCCCTGTTGGGGAGGGGGACTGCTGTGGATCTAAACCCTAACAGGTAACTCAAGTGACATGGATTTTTATTTCCTTCTCTCCTCCACTCTCCCGCTGGGTAGCTGTTTGAGAGTTGCAGCTTACCTACTACCCTAGGGTGTTTTTCTTTTAAACTCTAATAAAGTTTTCTTTGAGCTTCCATTTGAGTCCATTCTTAAATTGTTTATTAATGAGTCTAAGAACCGTAAAAGGGGACCCTGAATTCCCCACTACCATCTGGCAACCACAAAGGAATGAAATTCTGGTAACATCATCATGCTATGAACCAAGCATCTGAGGCCTAAAAGAGCTTCCTTGTGCATAGGCCGGAAGCTCATGGTTTCCTTGGCTTCTTTCCATGGCTGGAACACCCTACCTGAAGCAACAGGTCCTTCTGTGTCTGTGCTAGAATACTGGGTGGATTGGGAGGTTGGTTAGTTGGTGGATTGGATGGTTGGTTGATTGATTGCTTGGGTGGTATGAGTTTTTGAGACAGGGTCTTATTACCAGAGTCGTTAGAATCAGAACCTGAGCCCTGGCAATCTTAACAGATGAGGTTCAACCAGTCCTTAATAGGCTAATTAAACAAGTACTAGTGAATATCAGACAAAAGAGATATATTCAATGTGGCCACATTGTGAAAAGGAACAATAGAGTCCAGTGACACCCAGCAAGTCCTTATTCAGGGTCCTAACATAAATAGAGTGCAAGAGGTGTGCACAGCTAAGTAGTCCTGGCCGGCGTTAGTCCCACTGTGTCCGGCTTCCAGTCTCTCCTGACAAATTGTCAAAATTATGTGAAATCTCTGTCTGAGAGACAAGCCTCCCTGGAGCCCCAGACTTTTCCTTCACCCAGCATGAGATTTCTGTGGAAATTCCAGTTTCCTGAGGTTCATTGTCTCAACAGTCTGGTAGGAAAGAAAGGACACAAGGGTGCCTTTAGACTACCTTCTCTTTTGCCAGGATGGTTACAGTCTCACTATCGGACCCTAGCTGGCCTGGAACTTGCTTTGTAAACCAGGCTGGTCTCTAACTCATGAGTGATCCTCCTGCCTCTGCTTCCGGAGTGCTGGGATTGCAGGCATGTACCACCATGCCCAGCAGATACTGAGCTTTTATTATATTAAGTTCAAATGACTTGGGAAGGCTTTTACTTGAGTGCTTTTTGAGGTTTAAATAGCTGTCACTGAAGTGATGATGACAAATCCAGAGTTTTCTCCTGCCCAGAAATGATAGGAGCTTTGTGACCACTCACTCTGAGGCACATTATCCTTAACTTTTTGGAAAAAATTCCAGTTCCTGGCCTGGGAAACATTTGTGAACAGGGAGGTACAGTGAAAATGATGAGTACCACACCCATTTTCTTTTGCTGTAATGAATAACCAGAGATTTCCCAGGGTTCCTTGCAGCCAGGTAAAAACATATGGCGTAGTTCTGGCTAATAAAGTTAGCTGCGCAACTTCCTGGTCATGCCTTTGTTTTTTGAGCGTTTTGCATGCACCAAGTGTGTACAGTGCTCATGGTGGCTGGAAGAGGATGTCAGATACCCTGGACTTGGAGCTACATATACTTGTAAGCTGCCATATAGGTACTAGGAACCAAACCCAGATCCTCTGCAAGAGCTCTTTAACTGCTAAGCCATACCTCCAGCCCCTACCTTTTTATTTAAAGGTTATTTTTACGTGTATGTGTGTTTGTCTGTGTGAGCTATAGTTGTGGGAGAGTGTTATTTGGAGAAATTTCTAAATTTGTGTCTTGAGATTCTGTGAGCTTGTAATTAAAGATACTTGTAAATTTGTATCTTTTGGCAAAGATGCTAATAGCTAGGGAATAATAATTCCCCATTATAAATGTGTGGCTGCTTTTGGTGGGAAGTTAGACCACTTTGCTCTGGCTGTATTCTTGATTTTGAAACCATGTGGAAGAAATATTTTGCTTATGCCATTGGTGAGCTATCAATTTTTTTTTATTTAATAAGCACATGATTAGAAGAAGCATTTCATTACAGCTTTAAAATATTCAGTAACAATTTCCAGAGCAAGGATACATCTCTTTCAAAAGTGGCTGTAAATTTTTAGGTTCACAATTGAATTAATACAGTTATACAATATTGAACTCAGTATAAACCCTACGAAAGGTGCTGGCACCAGCCAATTTTTTTTTTTTTTTATGTGTAGGAGTATATTGCCTGCATGTATATGAGTGCACCCGTGTCGTGCAATGCCACGGAGATCAGAAGAGGCTTCGGATTCCCCTGGAACTAGAGTTAAGGACGGTTCATAGCCAACATGTGGGTGCTGGGAATCGAACCCAGGTCCTCTGCAAGAGCAGTCAGTGCTCTCAACCACTGAGCCATCTCTCCAGCCCCAAGCCAGCCAAAATTTTTTGAAAATAGATTTCATTAACTTTATTAAGTAATTCATTACTGTGTGTTTTGTTTTAAATATTTTCATTATTACATTTTATTTATTCTGTGTATGTGTGTGTGTGTGTGCATGTGTGCCCATGCACGCACACATATGCCATGGCATGCATGTGGAGTTCAGAGGAAAACTTAGGTGGGTCAGTTCTCTTCTATGGATCCCAGAGATCAAATTCAGGTCATCAGCTTGACAGCAAGACCTTTTACCTGCTGAGCCCTTGTTTTAAATATTATGAGAGGAAGAGAGAAAGACAAAAAGAAGAGGGTGGAAAGGAGAGGATATTATATGATAATATAGGACTTTTAATGAGAAAAAATAAACATAATAAGGGATGTATCTCAGTGGTGTTTGCTGCAGGTTTAGCATGCACATCCTTTTCCCCAGTTGGTGACATTGGGATAGCGGAAGTGTGGCTCGAGTTAACTTCCTGTACTCTCTCACAGCACCATGCAGGATGACATCTTCATTCTCCATGAGCAAGAGTATGACAGTTTGCTTGAATCTGTCTTCAAAACAGAATTCTTAAGCCTCTTAGCAAAGCGTTATGAGGAAAAAACTCAGAAGCAACTACCTCTGAAATTCAGCAATACGTGAGTTGGGGTCTGGAGCCCAGGCTGAGAGGTGGGGAGGCCTGTAGGGTGGGCTGTGTGGTCTGACTGGCCCCCATAGCTGCAGCAGGCCCTACTCTGGGTGCCTCAGTTTCTCCAGCAGAACTATAGCACCTGCTGAAGGCAATCTGGATGGTCATAGACTTTGCTATGTCATGTTTGCATTTCTGTGAAATAATGACATCATCAAAAGGTACATTTTTATCATTCACACAAAGATCACTTAATAAGACAGGGAAAGGTAAGTGTTAGTAGAGTCAGGCTGGAAGCAGGAAACAGTAACTAAGATACGGTTTTCAGCTCCCCTAATTCTTGGTAAGAAAATCTGCTGGTGGGCATCTGGGCATTGGGGCTATGGGTGACCAGTATCTTGTGTCTTGCCTTACCCTCATATGTTTAAACAATTTTGTAGTGGGCCAGACATCGCATACTGCCAAGCAGGGAAGTCAAGGTAGGAACTTGAAGCAGCTAGTCAGTTGCGTAGTCAAGAGTAGAGAGAAATGAATTCATTCATGCCTACTCATGTTCAGCATCCTCTCTACACATACACAGGACCCCCTTTAGGGAATGGTGTCATCCACAATGGGCAGGTCTTCCCACATTAGTTAACCTTAGTAATCAAGACAGTCCCCCACAGGTATACCCACAGGCCAACCTAATCTAGACAGTCTCTTATTAGGACTCTTCTCAGTGACTCTAGATTATATCAAGTTGACAATTAAAACTAAGCATCACACTTTCCCTTCCATTTGGGTTTTGGTGGCTTGTGTTTGTCTTTTCCCCAACCTAGGTGAGCGATGGTGGTGGAAGAATAGAATGAAATAAACAATATCCAAGGTCTGTGCCAAGAAATTTTCCCCTATCTTGTGTCTGGTATCTTGGTCCTCCATCTAGAAGCACAATGATACAATGCAGTGGAAGTTGTCCCCTTCCTCCTTTCCCCCAGGCTGTGACCCCTGACCATCTGAGAATGACCTTGGAATGTCAGTGGGTACCTCACTCACCAACAGAGTTCTCACAGGTATAGGGCCCCAAATGGCTTTGCTTTCAACATGACAGTTACCTAGCAGCTGTGCCAGTCTGCTCAGCAGCACCCCCATCCCAGGAGTGGGTTTGATGGTTTGAGCTTGCCCCCATCCCATAATACCTTTTCCCAGCAGCAACTCTCCATGCTGGGATCTCCAAGAGCCGTTTTCTCACTAGCTCCTTCTGACTCCTAATTTCAACCAATGTGCTTATTGCAGCCTTGAACTGAAGTTAAAAAAGGAGAACTGGGGTCCCTGGAGTGCAGGGGGCTCCCGGCAGGTGCAGTTCCACCAAGGCATTGGCGACCTGGCTATCCTCAAGCCCAGTAACAAAGTGCTGCAGGTCAGCATTGGACCCGGGCTGCCCAAGAACTCCCGTAAGTGTCCTGTTGGCCCTGCCTCACCCTGGTGCCCTGCGGTGCCCTGCACCCAGCTCTTCCAACCAAATGCTGATGATACATGCTCAGATCTGGGACGAGGAGTCCACGCTTTAGTGCTGACTATGGTGGTTCTCAGCAGATGGGAACTGCAGACATCATGAACAAGTGTTTTTGAACACAGTACACCTGGAATTGCTTTATTTGTTGTCTTTAAAACAGTTTGTTAAGGCCAGGGAGATAGCTCAGTCAATAAAGGCAAGAACCTGAGTTCGAGGGCCAGCAAGATGACTCAGCTGGTAAAGACACTTGCTACCAACTCTTGACAGCTTGATTTTGATCCCTGGAACCCATATGATGGAAGGAGAGAATGGACTCCTGCAAGTTGTCCTCTGACCTCCACACATGTACACCTCACACATATACATGCATGCACAATAAATAAAAGTAAAATATAAGAAATTTTTTAAAGAAAGAGGAACCTGACTTTGATCACCAGAACCCATGAAAAACTGAGCATGGTGGTTTGAGTTTGTAATCCCAGTGCTGGGGAGACAGACAGGCAGATACCTGGAGCTCATTGACTAGCCTAGCCTAGCCTACTTGGCAAGTTCCAAGCAAGAGATCCTATCTCAAGGAAAAAATTAAAAAGGTGTGTGAGAGATGGGCATGGTGGCACATAGCCTTAATCCTAGTACTCAGGTGGCAGAGGCAGGTGGATCTCTGTGAGACTGAGACCAGCCCAGTCTGTGTAGTGAGTTCCAGGTCAGCTGGGGCTACAGGGAGACCCTGTCTCAAAAAAAAAAAGAAAGAAAAAAAGAACAAAAAAGGTGTGTGACACCGGAGGTTGTTTTCTGGTACACACACACACACACACACACACACACACACACACACACACACGCAGACGTTGTTGACTTCAAGTTTCCCTGACCTTTTTGAAGTGAAAACTTGTCAACGATACCATTATCTTCTCTTTCAATTTAAAAGAATCTGACCACACTTACCGACTCCCCATAGTAGGTTCTCACTGTTACTATAAACCAAATCTCAGCTGTCCACCTTCACTTCAGAGCACTTGGTTAGAAGACAAGCAACAGCCCCCCAACACACACACACACACACACACACACACACACACACGACCTCAAACCCCAGGCTGGTCTTTCACTGGTCTTTTCCTCTTCATAATTAATACTCATAAACTTGTATATATAATGCAAGGACAGAATAGTCATACTGCTCTGTATTCATAGGTATAATGATCTAGATATCTTTGTACAGTTTAGCCCATGTCTGTGGTCAGTGAGGAAATACCATGCACAAAGCATGCCTTTATCAAGTCCGTGTTCAAACGCATGAATGCATGGCATCTCTCTGACACAGAAACACAATGCAGACAAACACCATCATCTTTCTGTATGTGTGTGGCCACTTGGAAGATGTTGAGGTGTGTCTGTGGTTCATCTGCTCCTTGCAGAAAATGGTACATTTCAATAGAGTTTTTGAAGAGGCTTTTAAATAAAAGAATGAGAGTCATGTTGAAAATAAGGTAGGGGTCCAGAGAAAAAGAACAGTGGAAATATGTAGTTATCTCTAAGCCAGAACTGGCTAAGGAAGCAGACTTGAGATGAGGTAGGCAGACAGGAGCGGGCAGAGTCAACACCTGGCCTCCTTCAGCACGGCAGTCTTCTGCCCTCACCCAACCCCCTTCAGGTCCCTGTTGAGATGTTATTATTTCCCTCCCATCAGTTGCCTTTGTGGAGATCTTATCTGGGCCTCTTGACCCAGCCTTAAATCGGGCCCACAATGTTTTGCGTTAGCCTCAACTCGTTTTCTTAGAACTTCGTGTCTATCAAGGGTCTGCTACTATCCTTCACAGTCTCTGTGTTTAATTGAAAAACTGTAGAACACAAGTTCTTACATGAAAGACTCTTGACAGAACTGGGAAGATAGTTCAATCAGAAGACTTGAATTTGATCCACAGAGCCCACATAAAAATTGAAGGCATGGTGGTACACACTTATAACCCCAGCGCTGAAGAGACAGGAGGAGGATCCCTGGGGCACAGTGAATAGCTAGCCCTTTAGCCTACTTGATGAGCTCTAGGCTGTCTCAAAAAACAAGGTGGCTGGGCATGGTGGCACACACCATTAATCCCAGCACTCAGAAGTTTCAGGCCAGCCTCGTCTACATAGTGAGTGCCAGGCCAGCCAGTGCTACATAGTAAGACCCTGTCTCAAACCACCCCCCACAAAACCACAAGGTGGATGGCACCTAAGGAACAACAACCAAGGTTGTCCTATGGCCTACAACACACACACACACACACACACACACACACACACGCATGTGCACCTGTGCATGCACACACACAGACTCTTAACAGACATGCAGTTAGAGCTGTGACTTACTGCATGCTGGGGATAATACTGTGTGACTCTCATATGTTGAGCCTCTGTGTGGCATTTAGAGCATGACTAAAAATGCTGAGGCATTCTCTCTGTCTCTTCCAAACACCTACAAAATAGGAACACCTTTACAAGAAGGTCAGTCTCTCCAAAAAGCCACTGACAGGAGCATTTCAAAATTGTACCTCTGAGCTAGGTGTGGTGGCACATGCCTTTAGTCCCAGCACTTGGGAGGCAGAGGTGGGCAGATCTCGGTGAGTTCAAGGCCAGCCTGGTCTACAAAGTGAATTCCAGGCAGCTGGGACTACAGAGAGACCCTGTCTCAAAAAGACCGAAAAAAAAAAAAAAAAAAAAACTGTACCTCTGAACGCTTATCTTCAGCCCTTCTCTTCCAACAGCTCCCAACACAGGGCCTCTAACCCATAGCCCTTCTCCACAGCATCCAGCTCCTGCCAATTTAGCTGACCTGTATGCCAAATTTTCAAATGTTTTCTGTAAGCCAAGAACCATCTAGAATAAAAGTGGGCAGTAGCACTAATAATAGCCGTGACTTGCTTGATTATTTCAGGTCCTACCAGAAGGAATACCGTCCAAAGCAGAGGGTATTCTGGCAGAACTCAGAATGCCAATTACCCAATGAGAGCCGCCCCTGCACCACCAGGTAAGCCAAGTGTACGCCATAGACCAAGACCTCTAAGTTTGGACCTGTAACTTTTTTTTTTTTTTAAGATTGATTTTTTTTTAATTTATTTATTTTTACACTCACTTCCCAGATGGCACCCTCCGATAGCCTCCCTCCCCCACTAGAGCCCTTATACTCTGATATCCCTGCTACTGTCTGCTGTGTTGGCGGCACCCGCAGCCATTCCCCACTACTTGCCCTTCTGGTGAATCTAGTCAGCCTATCTAGAGGTCTTTGTTTTAGGAGGATCTGCTGTTCCTTATCTAGCGGTAATCAGTTGTCAATATTCCTTTAAGATTGAGGTCTGCTGTTCAATTTCTCAGTTCTATGCTGGGTTACTATCTGGCAGTCCCTTTGGCCACCCTGGCCAATAACTCAAAAGAAGGTATCACCTGTCTGGCATTGCTGCTTGTTATGTAGCCTTTAGCTATACATATGGACTCTTATGAAATTATATTGGTCCCTTTAATCTTTGGTTATACTTTCCTTTTGGGTGTTTAAGGCTATACAGTCTATAATGAGGAGGGTCAACACAGAGCAATCATTTCCTCCACGTTTCCAAGCAAAGCCAACCGTTGTTGAGCAGGACCTTTGACTTATCTTCACATAGGTAGAAGTGATAAAAGAAAGGAGCCAGGGGCTCCTCCCAAGCCCATGTGACCCCTGAGGAACAGATCCTCAAACAACCTTAAGAGTAAAAATAAATTGGTTTATTTTTTGGTCTTTTTGAGACAGGGTCTCCCTGTAGCCCCAGCTGTCCTGGAACTCACTATGTAGACCAAGCTGGCCTTGAACTCACAGAGATCCGCCTGCCTCTGCCTCTGCCTCCCAAGTGCTGGGATTAAAGGCATGTGCCACCACACCTGGCTTGGACCTGTAACTTATAAAGTGTGTTTGGAAAGTGAGAGTGATGTCTCAGTACGACTTGAGTCCAATCTCCAGCCCCCATGTAAAAGGCTAGGCTTGATGGCATGTGATTGTAATTCCAGTCCTGGCGAGGTGGAGACAAGCAGATCCTGTGACTTACTGACCAACCAGCCTAGCTTAATTGCTGAGCCTTAGCTGCTAGTGAGAGACCCAGTCTCATTGGCCTCTACATGCACATATACATGCCCACATGTATACACACACACACACACACACACACACACGAATGAATGAATGAATGAATGAATGAGTGTGTGTTTGGGATGAAACTCATCAGCAAAAGAATACACACAGATCCACCAGTCACAGGCAATTTTAATACTACATGCAAGCTTTTCAATACAGCAGAGCTCCTCATGGCCCCAAATACAGGAAAACGGAGTCAGCGAGCCCACACAGCATCAGAGAGACAGTCTGGGTTTCATAACTAGCTCTGTCACTTTCTTAGGAAAGGCTTCCTAGGACAGAGCAAGAGAGACAAGGAGTTCATGTCTACCACAGTCAGGATGCTGGCAGCTTTAAGATGCAGGATGTTGCCTTGATGGGCCCGAGAGTTTGCTGGGTATCACCTTAGCAGTGCCAGGATAGAACCATGTACCATTGCAGTGTTTTTGGTTGAACTTTTTAAAAGATTTTTTAATTTTTTAAATTATGTGTATCTATGTATGTGTATGTGCACGTAAGTGCTGGTACCCATGGAGGTCAAAGGAATTGAATCACCTGAGCTGCCCAGGGCTACCCAATGTTGGGTGCTGGGAACTGAACTTAGGTCCCCTGAAAGAGCAGTATGTGCTCTTAACCGCTGAACTATCTCTCCAACCCCCACATTGATGTTTTGCAATTAGTTGCCCAGTGAATGAGTAGAAAAACATCTATTCTTAGTGAAGAGATGCAGGAGTCATCACAAAAGAAAATAACATCTGGGAGAATTACAAACTAGTTACAAAAGCTTTTTTGGCCCTTGTTTCATTTTTTCATATTTTTTTTATACAGGGTCTTGTGTAGCCCAAACTGTCCTCAAACTTGTGCAGCCTTGAACTTCTGATCTTCCTCCTGCCTCTACCTTCAAGCGGCTAGAATTGCAGATGCAAGCTACCATAAACACCCAGTTAAGGGGTACTGAGGTTCGAACCCAGGGCTTTGTCATGTTGGGCAAGCACTCTACCCATTGAGCTACCTCTCCAGTCCATACTTTTCAGTTTTTCATAAAAATATGACTTGTAGATCAGTAAGCTTTAACTACGAATAAATTCAGAATTCTTGACTGTACAAATATGCTTGCTATTTAAAAGATCACTTTTAAATTTCACAAAATATTTCTCCATCACTCACAAAGTTGAGTTCATACGACTGCTCCCAGAATGTTGGATAGTAATCACTTTAGGATAGGACTGAGCAGGTCATTTGGGGGCCACATTTGAGCCAGATCATACCAGACAAGAGAATCCCATTTGCCCCAGTGTCCAGGTTAACCAGTGTGGAGCAATTCTTTAGTCTCCTGTTCCAGAACCTCACACTTGTAGTCTAACCATTGGCACTGCTCAGCAGTGAGAAATGAGTTCTCCTTTCTTTGGGAGTTTCTGTCCTGCCTTAGCCTGGCTTTCTCCCCTCTCGTCCCCTCTTCTTTTATCCCTGAAGAGCATCAGCTCAAAGGGACCCAAGAGAAGGAGAGCACCTATTGTGTTATTATTTAGTGCTGGCCTCGGTAGAACATTCCATCTTCGACCACCTGGATGTTCCTTTGCCTCAGCTCTGGCCAAAGTGATCAGCCCTCGGTGCATCTGACCTAGAACATGTCTCCCACCTCTAAGTGATAGCTTCTTCATCAGTCAAATGAGAAACTGACCTGAGCCCAGTAGAGCAACACTTCTCAAATGTTCTTCAAAAGGGATGGGCCAGAACCTTTAATTCTTTATTTCTGTGTATATGCATGTGCATGTCTGTGTATGTGTTCTTGTGGATGTGGGTACATGTAGGGTGTGGGTTGCGTGCACAAGTATGCACATATATGTGGAGGCCAGAGGTCAACCTCAGGTGTCATTCCTCAGGGGCCATCCACCTTGGTTTTTGTGGTTGTTGGTGTTATTGTTTGGTTTGGTTTTTGGTTTATTTTATTTTATTTATGATTATTTTTTGTCTTTCTTGTCTTTCTTAAGACAGAGTCTTCTGCAGCCCCAGTTGGCCTAGAACTTAATCTCAGAGATTTGCCTGCCTCTGCCTCCCAAGTGCTGGGATTAAAAGTATGCACCACCATGCCTGGCACTTGTTTTAATTTTTATTTTATGTATATGCATGTTTTGCTTGCATGGAAATGCACCGTATACATGCAGTGCCCACAGAGGCCAGAGGAGGATGTCATATCCCCTGGAACAGGAGTTACAGACAGTTCTGAGCCTCCATGCCGGTGCTGGGAACTGATCTAGGTCCTCAGCAAGGGCAGCCAGTGCTCTTAACTGCTGAGCCAGCTCTCCAGCCCCCTACTGTGTTTTTTGATAAAAGGTTTTCACTGGGACTTGAGGCTTGCCTAGTAGGCTCATTGGCTGCCTAGCCAGCCCCAGGTATCCATCTTCCTGTCTTCAGTCTCCCACATGCTGGGATTCCAAGTGTATGCTACCACCTCTGGCTTTTTATGTGAGTGCTGGTGATCAAACTCACATTCCCAGCTTACAAGGCAAGCACTTTACCAATAGAGCTATTCTCCCCAACCCCCAATTCCTTAGGTTTTTAAAACAATCTTCAGTTTATCACAAACCATACTTTTGTAAAATGTAATAAAAATGAATTCGTAGAACAATGAAAATTTAAAAGCATATAAAATATAAGCCCAAAATTTTTATTATTAATTTCAACATTCATCCACACTGAACTTAGTGTAGATGCTTATCCCCTAAGAAGCACCCCAGTCTGGCTTGCTCCTTTCTATTTTCTGACACCCTTGGTACCAAGTGGGGCCTCCCTGTCCTGCCCATCCCCTGATGCTGTCCTTCAAAATCTCACTAATCGGGTCAGATGAGGAAAAAGTCTGTTCCGGCCCAGGGCCTGTGGGAGGATATGGCAAGGGAGATGACTGGATGGAAAACCATACTCTTAAAAGCTGTACCCTAGAACACTGTCATTCAGAATAGGAATTTGCCCTGTAGTTACAAGGGAGGGAAAAGCCCACTTGTGCATTGAGAAGGATGTCTAGATGGCAGGGAAATGTGTCAGAGCTGGAAGTGAGCAGGTAGATTCCAGACCAGGCTCCTTGTTGTTTGTGAAGAAACCCACCATCTGAAAGAGATCAGATACCTTGCTCACAATCACTGGGGTGCTCAGAACGAGAGCCAGACTGAACCCCTGAGGCCTGGTTGTACCCTTGCTGCTCAAAGAATGTTGCCTTCCTCCACTCTGCCTGGTGTGTCAGTAGGAAGGGAGGAAGGTCTGCTTCCTGTGAGGCAGGAAATGACGAGACCCCAGCCCCATCATCCATGACTCACTGGCTAATGCAACTTTTGAGATCTTGACTAGAACTCACTGTTCAGTGCACAGAACTTGCCCCCAGCTGCACTAATTCAGCTGGATGGCTGCATTTCCCTCACCTTGGGTAGTATTTCCTTCCTCCTCATACAGTCACCCCCTGCCAAAGATGCCCAAGACTGACTGCTTGAAAAGGGATGTCCAACTATTTAATGGGCTTCCCTCCAGAGTCATGGCCTCACAGACCCAAAACTGCCTGCCAGCAAGCTACATGCTTACCATTCTTCTACTGTGGGCTTTGAAACCGCAGTGTCTGGGAATTCTATTGCCACTTTTAACAAGCTTGTCCTGGGGCACTTCCTTGACAGGTGACAATGTATTGTTGACACTATCATGTTGTGTTCCCCAAATACAATCTGATTTGTCAGTTACACCTCAGTAAAGTTGGAAGGGAAATAAAGGATCTGCTTTGATACACTATGTCAGTGATAGTGCCTTCAGTTTTTTCAGATGGGGAAACTGAGGACCAGAGGAGTTAAATTGGTTGCCTTGGGCTACTAGGTAGAGACACAGAGAATCTTTTGATAAAGCATCAGAATTGACACTTTTCTTCTCTTTCTTGTCTAGGATATCATCAGAATGGAGTCATCAGAAACCAGTTTGTGCCACCTCCCCACACTCCTGGAAACCAGAGGTCTAATCAGAAAAGCCTGTATACCTCCATGGCTCGCCCACCCTTGCCACGGCAACAGTCCACAGGCTCAGACCGATTGTCACAGACGCCAGAGAGCCTGGATTTCCTCAAGGTCCCGGACCAGGGTGCTGCAGGGTGAGACCATGTCCTGTGGTTGAAGCTGGAGAGCTCTGTCTCCCTCAGTCACACAGAGGGTTCAGGGACTTTATAGACTGTCGGTGTGGGGTTCGATTTCTTTCTTTAGGGGGAGGGTGTTGAGACAGAGTCTTCCTGTAGCCCCACCTAGCCTGGAACTCAATATGTAGACCAGGCTGGCCTCAGTCTCACAGAGATCCCCTTGCCTCTGCCTCCTGAGTGCTGGGATTAAAAGCATGTACCCAGCTTGATGTGGAATTTTAAATTTCAAGTTTTGCACCCAAGTACTGTAATCCAGGACCCACAGTTGTGGGGCCTACTTAACAGCAACATAAACCATTTCATCCTTCAGATAGGGGCTTACCTTGGAAACATCAGAAGTCTGGTCCCCCTCACCCCTGAGAATCTACTACTCAGTGACCATTTTTTCCTTGTTGAGGAATAAGGATATAGTTGTTTCTTTGTTTTGTTATTAGTGTCTGTGCCTACAATTGCATAAATGCAACCGTTTGTAGTCTTAGCAATATTAAGAATAACATCTCAGGGACTGGAAAGATGACTCAGTGGTAAAGAGCACTGGCTACTCTTGCAGAGGATCTTGGTTTGGTTCCCAGCACCCACAAGGCAGCTAACAATTGCCCCTAACTCCAGTTCCAGAGGATCTGATGTCCTCTTCTGGCCTCTGTAGGTACCTATACTTGTGTGGCACACATATATACAAATAGGCACACACATATACACATAAATAAAAAAAATTTCAAAAGCCAATAATATCTTTAAAAAAAAAAAACAGTGTCCTATGAGACACAGCTATTTAAGCATATTGATTTTTATGGCTTCACAATGAAAGCTCTTCCCTTCTAGTGAAAAAGAGGGCAGAAGGAGCCTGGCTTTTAAGCTGGGGAAGGGAAAAGTCTTGTGTTCAGAGAACTCCAGTGAGAGGAAGGACATAGGCTTGACCTGTGTGGTCACAGGTATAAGACTGAAGTCAAGGGCAAAACCAGTGAGGGAACTCTGCCAGGAGGTGCAGACTTTGGTACAGTAAAAGAAAAATATGCTTTAAATCAAGTCTACTTCTTATCCTCCCTCAGCTTCAGTTTTCTTGTGCACATTGATGTAATAGCATCATACTTGTAAGCATGTGGGGAGGAGAAATAATTTCCGTAAAATGCTTAGTGTGGTTCCTGCATGTAGAAGACAGTTCCATCACATTTGCTTGGCAATGATGATGATGATGGTGATGACGACATTGATGTTGATGGTGGTGATGGCGGTGGTAGTTGTGGTGATGATGGTGAGGGGATGATAGTGGTGGTAATGGTGGTGGTAGTGGTGATGGTGATGTTGGGGGGTTGATAGTGATGATAATGTTGATGGTGGTGGTGATGATGGGGGGGTGGTAGTGTTGATAATGATGCTGATGGTGATGATGGTGGGATGGTAAAGATGAACATGATAACAACCATTCTCGTGGTGGTTGACATAGTGACTTTTTAAAAAACATTTTATTATTTTATGTGCGTGAGTGTATTGCCTGCATGAGTGTAAGTGCACCCATGTCGTGTAGTGCCTACAGAGGTCAGAAGAGGATGCCAGATCCCTGGATCTGGAGTTATGGATGGTTATTAACTGTCATGTGAAAGGCGGGAACTGAACCTGGGTCCTCTGCAAGAGCAGCCAGTGCTCTTCACTGACAAGCCATCTCTCCAGTCCCTGATATAGTGACTTTTTAAAGTATTTATTTTGTGTGTATTCATATGTTCTGAGTGGGGAGGGAGACATGCAGAGGTGTACATGTGGAGGTCAGAGGACAACTTTTGGGAGTTGGTTCTCTCCTTTTACCACATGGGTTCCAAGAGTCGAACTCGGATCCTTAGGTTTGGAAGCAAGTGCCTTTACCCACTGAGCCATCTCACCAGCCCAACCTAGTGACCTTCAAGAAATCTTCCTGCTTTTCGTGACTCTCAGTCATGGTTAGTGGTTCTCTCTGTCCACTTCCTCGCCTCTTCCATCCCTCATGCCCATTTCCAGTTTTGTTTCTCTCCATTGTCTCTAGAACAGTGGAGATGTTTTAAATGAGGATCGGGAAACATGTAAAATAGACCCTTGCTGTCAGGGAAGCTAAGGTCCTTCCTCTTGGCGGGCCACCTTACATGCTCCTCCATACCCCATTGTCAGAGGTTTCTCCTGCCTTGGCCATTTCCTTCCGAAGACCATGAAGACCATATGAACTTCACCATGTCCTCTCCTGGAGCTCTTTTCTCCCTGGCAACTTGTAACTCATCCCTTTATTTGGGCTGCAGATGGGAAGGCATTTTAGTCTTTTTTATACATGTGGCTATCAATAGAATGGATGGAGACAGATAGAATGCATTGTATAGAGAACTGTATCCCACCAGTTCTGATGACTCAGATAAGTTGACTGGTTCAGTCTCCAGTGTTGGTTCTCAAACCCCAATGTTTACCAGAATCACCTGGAGGACTTGGCTAGACCATTTCTAGCATCTCTGCATTAGTACCTCTAGGTAGGGCTTAAAAGTTCATTCTCTCTCTATAATGTATGTGTGTACGTGCATGCATGTATGTGTGTGTATACACACACACACACACATATATATATAGTTATTTTGTGTGAGGTGGTGGGGTGCAAGTGAATGTGTGTGTGTGTGTGTGTGTGTGTGTGTGTGTGTGTGTGTGTGTACCACTATGCCCGGCTACATGTAACCTTTTTTTAATTAACATTTTTTATATTATTTATTTATTTGTATATATGTTTGGGGAGGGACTACATATGCCACAGTGTACCTGTGTGGATGTCAGAGGGCAACTTGCTGGAATTGGTTCTCTCCTTCCACCATGTGGGTCCTAGGGATCGAGCTCAGGTCCTCAGGCTTGACAGCAAGTGCTCATACCTGCTGAGTCATCTCACCAGCCCTCAATTATTGTCTTATTACCTCTATTACACGTATACACAAGGCACAGGAGTTTAATGAAGACACAGCTCACAGGCGTGAGCTGTCCCCGAGCAGACACACAGCTCTGTAGATGTTTGATGAACAAAATTACAAGACGGTAACAGATGAACTAGATTTCCCGCCTAGTCCTTCCAGCTGTGACCCTTGCACTGTCTGCACAAAGCCATGTCACCTCTTGTGAACTTTCTGAGCAGCTCCCAGGATTCCCTGGTGGGTGTGCCTAGTCTGTGCCAGGGAGAGCAGGGGATTAAGCTTTCAAATATCCCTGCTTTTGTTCTGCAAATGTGAAATTTATGTCTTGAAATTCCAAGAAAGAAAATAATGGCATTTTATTTCATTGGCTCTTAAAGATACACTCTGCTCCAAAAGTTGAAGCTATAAACATTACTGGAAACGTAGGAACTGATGCCAGGAATTCTTAAGATCCATGTCTGCCTGGACCAGGTTATGGCTGCTGCTCGCATAGACCGTGGGTTGAGAAATATTGCTATTGGACACTTGTTGGAAATTTTAAGCTTTTCAAAAATACGACTCCCTTAGGAGAGTCTTGACAAGAGATGCACAGGCGGCATTTAAAGTTTTCTGTCTGTTCCTCCTTCATGGTGAGGCTGAAAGCCCTGCCACTCAGTATCTGTCTTGCTTCTTTGATTGCCTGATTTCTCACTGGATCAATCCCTGCAGTATCTTTTAAGTTCCTGACATTGTCCTCCCATTAAATGGACTACAGGATTAAAAGGGGGAATGGGCATTTCTGATCTGGACTCAGTGTTTCCTCGCGGGACTGTAGGTAGATGATGCATGTTTCAAGGATGGGAAGGAGAGCTGCCCAGTACACCTGACAACTAATCAAGTGTTACTGGGTCAGGGTGAAGGTGGGAAGATTGAGCTCTTTCTGTGATTGCTGCAGTCTGCCCTCTTCCCACGAGATCAGATTTTCTGAAAGCTGTGCTAAAAAGAGTGTAAGACCTTGATTCCCTCTGCATAGGTCTCAGTCTATCGTGTGTACAAGCAATGTAAAATGAGGTGAAGAATCTCACTGATGGACCTGGAGAGATGGTTAAGAGCACTGGCTGCTCTTGCAGAAGACCCGGGTTCTGTTCCCAGCACCCACATAGCAGCTAACAGCCATCTGTGACTCCAGTTCCAGGGGATCTGATGCCCTCTTCTGACCTCTATGGGCAGTGTACATACACACAGTCAAAACACTCATACACATAAAATAAAAATTAAATACATTTTTTTTTAAAAAAAAAAAGGATTCCATTGAGGGGATGAGAGTGTTAGCCAGTGGTAGAGTGCTCACCTAGCATGTGCAAGGCCCTGGGCTCTATCCTTAGCACTGCAGAAAAAAAAACTAATAAAAAGGAAGGAGCCTTTTTTTGGAATGATAATTAATTTGGTAAAGCCTTCCTGCCCTCCCCAAAACCAACTGACCGAATGGAAGTCAAGTTGATAAAGATTTTCCAGAATAAACCTGAGGCGCTAATTATACCATTTGATGTTAGCCATAGTACATGATCCAAAAGAAATAATTGCTTATATGAAATGTGTCTGTAAAGAAAATGTACACTGAGGAGTGGGAGAGGGGAATGGACGCTAAAGCCCAGTATGTGGAGGCCCAGGGGAGAAAGACTGAGGTGGTCGGTTTCTGGATTGGTAAATTCAAGGTGAGCATTTGGCACTTTGATTTAAATAGGAATCCTCATGTTTATGGAAAAGGAACAAGTTTGGAATACCAAAATGCTCTCTACACTCCAACACTTTTTTTGGCAAAGAGAAGCTGTTAAATTTAGGTAATCACGAGGCTCCTGAAATGTCATGCCCAAGTTCTCTGCCACATTAGCAACTGAATTCTTACCCCCATGTGTTGTCAAAAATAAATGCTAAGAAAAAACTCAGCTCTTTGACCAAATTCCTGCTTCTTAACTCCTTAGGTTTTTTTGAGACATGGTCTCAATTTTTAACACAGGTTGGCCTAGAACTCACTGTGTACCTCAAGCTGGCCTCAAACTTGTAGTAATCCTC